TGGGGAGGGTCGATCGGCTGAAACGTGGCTTCCTGGGTTCAGCTCTCTGAAATGCAACCAAAAATGCACTGTCAACCGGCTGATAATCCTTGTCAGCCGGACGACAGCCCTGGATGTTGCTATGTGCAACCTTAAACATCAAAATTCTAAGTCCCTTTTTCTAAGCCAACTTATGAGAAATCCTGTCATACAAATGAATCCAAATTCATGGCAAAAGAATAGACAACATTTCAAGGTTATAAACATACATAGCTTGCCCCATTCATCATAAAATGTTTACATAGTCTCAAATTTACATCAATTACAATCAAGTGTCGTAGTCACAATACATGTCCATAGTTTGCAAAATAAATACACTTTACTATAGTTTGAGACTTTACAAAAATATAATAAATAGACACAAGATAGCAAAAATGGTTCCTAATCCTTCTCACGCTTGTGAAGGGTCGGCATCCACTACTTCCTTTCCGAGTCCTGAAAAATGTTAAATATAATGGGGTGAACGTAAAGCTCAGTAGGTAGTGCCTAAAACACACCTTTTATAACCCGTGAATCCAAGCAATGAATAGAACAATAGGGAATGGGGTCATGCAAAACTGGGGAAAAATATAATATCAATTTCAAGTTCAAAACAAACAAATATCGTGCCATAAATGCAATGCCATGTATGTCACTCCCTATTTTCGGAAACATTCATTGCTTCACAAACTGTTAACATAACCCGTCATTTGGTAACTCCGCAACGACACGAGAAAAGGATTGGCTACTGTCCATGTAATACCCCTAATTTTAAAAGGATAGTCTCGGCATTTTAAGTTTTATTTTTATTGCATTTTTATTTGTTTATGTGTTTGGTTGCCAGTTTAATTAATAAATTGATTGATTATTTGTTTTAAATTGAATTGTTTGTTTCATTGTTAAGTTAATTGTATTGTATTTTTCTTTAATGGAATTAAAGTGTTATTGTTAATTTAATTGTATTTTTATTTTCTTTAGTTGAATTAATTTGTTTTAATTGTTTTAAATGGTTTATTAGTTTATTTAAATGGAATTAATTGGATTAAATTAGTATTTCTAATTGTAATGTAAAATTAGAGTTTTAGTCTTTTATGGATCACATATTAACCGACTAGATTAGGAGCTAATTAGGTTTTCCATCTCTAATTAATATTGGATCTAGATTTTTATTGGTGTCTATAAATATACTGGTATACGTCTTCAAAAGGGTTGGAAAAACCCTACACACGTACAGTGTTATAGAGTGAAAACAGAGAGAGAGATTGTGAGAAAAACAGAGGGATTTCCGTTAGGGTTTTGGCTGTGGATTAAAGGACGAACCAAGGAGGAGGGAAGGTTGAGCAGTAGGAGGTTGACAGTGAATGGACGTCGTCGGAAAGCTTGGGAAGACGGCGATGAGGTTTTTGATTCAAAATCTCACGCAAGTTCTATTATGTCTCTCTCCCTTTGACCTGTGTTCTGTGCATACTTAGATGATCTCTAGGATCTTAATCGGATATTAACTGAATCTTGCATGCCTAATATATGTTGGATTGCTCGTTTGTATGTGTTTAATTTACTCTAGAATTGTTCTTGCAAGTTTGGGTTTCACCGTTTGATTCTACAGACTAATGAATCAGTAACTGTTTTCATTATCGTTTTTAATGTAAACTATTTTAAATAAATGATGGGGATGATACTGGATGAAATATAGACTGTTAGGATCATTTTTATGAAGAACAGAAGGGCTGGAAACGGCTGGAGATGAAGCAGACGAAGCGAAGAAGTGCAGAGCTCTCAAAGAGGGGGAGAGCCGACTCCATGGAAGTGGGAGCCGGCTCCCTCTTGTGCAGAGCCGGCTCCAGGAGGTTGGGAGCTGCTCCCCTCTTCACAGAGCCGGCTCCAAGGTCTAGGGAGCCGGCTCTGAGCTGGTTTGAGCCTGCTCTGTTTTCTTGTGAGCAGGCTCTATTATTTTGAAGCGTACCGGAGGTGATTTGTGCACTGTTTGGTTAAATTTGGTATTCTAAACTGTGTTAGGATATTAAGAGGGTTCTAAATATTAATTCATGGTGTATTAAAGCCTTAGGATGCAACATTTTATTTATATGCTAATGATTTTTAAACATATGAAAGTTTAAAACAAATTGCATGCTGATTCACGGATATAACGGATAGAGAGGATTTAATTGCTTAAATTGTGTCTAGAAATTTAATGGACTGTAGCATGGACTCCAAACATTATATTATGTTGTATTAGAACCCACATTGCATAATTAATGTCTTTATGCTCATGGATTTAACAGTAGGGAAGTTTAACCTATCTTGCATACTGTTAACGGATAGACATGATTAAATTGTTTAGTTTTGTTTTAATAATTTAATGGACTGTAGTATGATTTATAAATCTTGTTTTGGATGCATAATAGGGTCATTTAATTATCGGACTTGATTTATGCTTACTCTGGATTCTAATTACTGAGATATTAAACTTTATTCTGCAATTACATGGATTAAGGTTTTGGATTTTAATTACTGATATATTATACTTTATTCTGCAATTACTTGGATTATTGATTTGGACTTTAATTGCTGGACTATTAAACTATGTATGTCAATTACATGGATTTATGTGTTGGATTTTAATTACTGAATTATTATAATAAATTATGTCAATTATATGGATGTTATGGATTGTATGCACCGGTATGGGACGATGGCATACTATGGATGGATTAGTTCAAAACGCTAAGTCCTATTTTCTTGGAATAAGGGAATGGATTGTAAAAATTGAATCCTACTTATATTTAAGTCAAATCAACTGAATAAGTTGAGTGACTTCATGGATTAATTGTTATTTGTAGTTAAGTCAGATCAACTGAATAAGTTAAGTGACTTCATGGATTAATAACATTAATTGTTATTTGTAGTTAAGTCAGATCAACTGAATAAGTTAAGTGACTTCATGGATTAATTGTTATTTGTAGTTAAGTCAGATCAACTAAATAAGTTGAGAGACTAACTGGATTGGAAATCTTATGTCATACTTTGGTTTTGGACGGACTTTAAATATATGATTATGGTACCACGATATGAGCTTGAGTCTCAGTATCGATGGTTAGGGCGCGTATATGCAGTGGATGCGCAGCTGGTTATGATGGTTGAGGTATACCCTGTTAGGTCTAGGTACCCATGCCCACCTTTAGGTGCGTTTTTGCATGTTGCCTTCTATTCAGGTTGAGACCCCCATTGTAGTCTAGTGAGAGTCCTTTAGTGTGGATATATATATATATATATATATATATATATATATATATATGTATGGACTAGATAGATATTGTTGAGATATCTAGGATGTATCTGCGTATCGGGTCTCTGTTTGGATTGTATTTAGAAGAGAACTTGTTCGTAGGTCTGATCCACTATTATTTTTCAGGTATTGGACGGTTCCAGTTTTAGAGCTTGTTCGTGCTGAGCAGAGACGGTCACTCATTCTTCCGTCTACGTAGGATTGCTATTTATATTTAGTTTTGGATTTCCTTGTTTTGTTTTGTTTAACTTCAGTTGGGTTTTAAATAGGGGTCCACTAGATGGATTCCCGAGTTGTATTAACGAATGATTACTTGAATCAGAATGTTTTTATTATTAATAAGAATTTATTCTGAGAAGTTATTGGATTGTTCTTTTAGTTTCGTTTCAGCAATTTTCATTTATTCCTATTTATCATAATTGTATTCTGTGTTCGTTTGTTGCCATTTGTTTTTTATATTCTCGGGTGTTCAGGCGTGAGCATGGCCAACTCGCATCCGGAAATCCGAATGTATCACAGTTGGTATCAGAGCCCTCCAAGTTCTAGTGTCCTTAGGAGTGTCTTTCGTTATAGAACTTCTGCGTTGCGTCTCTTAAAACTTAGAGCCATATTAAGATTTGTTGTACTCTAATTACGGTTCGTTAGGAGGAGTTGAATATTTAGATACTTAATGAATCCTCAGTAGTTGAATTTGTATTGACCTATTAATAAGACAGATGGGTAATGTTATACTGCAAATATATAGCATTCATATATTATCTATGAACTCGCAGCTAGAGCATTTGAATGTGTAAAATATTTACAGTATATCATACACAATATAAACATTTGAAAGTTTTGTTAGTCATCGAGATTAATTCATACAACATAAATATTTATATACACACACACAAACATTTGAGTGCTAGCATTTGAATGTGGGTATTGCTCTCCGAGCTCGATTCATTAGGTTCATTAGCCAAGTTCAAATGTGTCCTAATAAAAAGGTCATACTCACGAACATGTCTCCATATCTAATGGACTGAATTGTGGGTCTTTTAAGCTTACCTCGTTTATTAAACATGCTTTAAAAAGAGCTCGAAAAAGAGCACAATCAGAGAGAGAATCTCATGTCGTCACTGATTAACTCAATTTCTTACCATTGTAATCACCATGTGTACCCCACATATTGTTGCAGGTGACAATGGTGACTCAGCACATGGCGCCCAATACTACTGTATTTGTCAAAATACCTTGGAGCAACTCATGTTCCAGAGAAAGTCAAGCAGCCACACATGATAGGATTAGTTCAACTATCTTCAGTAAAATACTAAAATCATAACCAGTCCTGACGCCATCAAATGTGTCAGCTCCTTTAATAAAATTATTGTCGGCAAATGATAAGCTGTTGCTGCACTACTATCCAAACTTCGGTCCCCATCAAAATTTGGGATTGGACCAATCTGTCCATGAACAAGTTTATACATACTGTAGTGTAAAATATCAAGTGCTGGGTGAATAATATATATTATCAAGGACATAAAAAGAAACAAACCTCTTGTCTGTGCCACCAAAATTCCCAAACCAGCCTATCAACTGTGCCTCTTAGGACTGAATGGCTATGAATATCCAAGTAGTCAATTTGATTCTGCAGTGACCATTATCAGAAAATCACATCAAATATACAATTCATTCGCATGAACCAAAAACGGAAGAGTAAACGTACCACCCACTCTTATCTCTGTCTCTAAATCACTGGTTGCAATTCTCCACCACAAAAAAAATAATGCTATAATAATACTCCAGTTGACTTTATCAATAAGAAAACAAAATTTTCAACCTGCCCCAGGAATGAAAACTAATCATACTTGCCGGCATTATATTTCAAATAAAGAAGTAAACATGTATTCAAAGTTCACTCAACTGCAATCTTTACTGTATGTGAGGGATATATTTCAAATAAAGAGACCATTTATGACCAGAGAAAACCTGAAACTTCTTCATCAACAGCTTCAAGTCCTCTGAGCCTTCTAAAGTGAAGAGCAATTGGTAAAGGAAGATGGGTAGGCTTGGATGCACCATTGATGGCAATCTGGATGTCTCGAAGTTCAGCCAGCCCATGCCATGGATCGGTGTCTACGTCGCAGCAGCATCCGCAGCCTGCGCCATTGCCATGGCTGTGGATGCTTTCCATGGCTTGCGCAACCGGAAACTCTGGTTCCCCTGCAAATACTTCTCTCTCAATGCCACTACCCTGACCTTGATAGCCGTGGCGATCAAATTCTCGGTGGATCTGAATACCTCCATGCCTCGCAAGCAGGATCAGCTCGCAAAAGTTAGCAGCGCCGTCTTTATCTGCACGGTGATGGGTAATTCTATGCCTTCTCTAGGAACTATGGACAACAAAGAGATCTTCATGAACCTCATGGCTCTGGGAATTCTTGTCATCACTGCCATCGTCAATATCTGCATCCAAATGGGTACTGGTGTTATTTATACTTTCCAGAAAGAGCATGCTTTTGTTATGTTTCTTATGCTTGTTTTGCTTGCAATTTTGAGTTCCTCAGCTTTGACTGTTCCAACTACTAAGCGTTACTTTGATCTAAAATATAGTAAAAAACATCAACTAACTATGAAAGAATGGCCGAATACGGCTGAAAAGTGCACGGTTAAGAAACTGAGAGGAGATCTGAGGAAATATTGGATGATGGCGCATACCTGTTGCCCCCAGTTTGTGATGGGGCGTTCTGCAACATGCACTGCCTCGGGGGCGTTCTGCCTGCTGAGTGCTGCAATTTTAGCAGAAGCCATGCTTCGATCTTACTTCATGCCCTGGTCCTTCAAATTCTGCCATGGCGAGTCCGATTACAAGTGGTCAACTACTTTAGTTCTTGTAACTCAAACTATTGCAGTTGGAATAGGCACTATTGCCCCAGCTTTTAGATGGTTCACTGCCATCAATTTTAGGTGCCCAAAGAAAGCAAGAAAGGCTATCAAGCCCCAGTTCAGAGTGGAGAGCTACTGGATTCAGACACTGGTGGAGTGGAAAGAACGCCCATTAGCCACAAAAATTTATGGCCGGCATGGGAGAAAACTTGCTCACAACATGAAAGAGAAATTTTTGGAGTTATGTATTGGAATGCAGACTGGGGTAGTGTTGGTGAGCAAAATGGTTCGCCTCAGTTCAATTTATTTTGTAAGCTGGTTTCTGATATGCTACCGCGGCTGCAGGAAAGTGAAGTGGTTGTTCAAATGCAACAATAGTGTTTCCAGTGATGAGTCAGGATCAGAGTCACGGACCAGTTCAAATCTTGATCTTAGCCGTTATGTTTTGTATCTTGAAGGAGAAGCGGAACTGGTTGATCTGATGACGGAAAACAACTGTGATGCTACTGATCGTTGGTTTCGGATGGGGAAAAAGTTGCAGTCAAGAGATCTCATTCAGCTTTTAGAGAAATCCACTTCTTCACAAGAATTCAAAGGAGTGCTTCAGTTCGACAGTGACCAGGTTCCCTCTTTGGATTCTGAAGAACCTCCTAATTGTTGGGCTCTTCCAGTGGTGACATTGACAAGCATTGCAGTTGCACTTCCCAACATCGACTACCATGTGGTTAAACAGTTGATAAGCGGCGTACATATAGGCATCATGTTTGCGAGACTGGTTGAAAATAGCTTGCATGCAAAAGAAGACTTCAAAAGCATCATGAAGGCAGCAGATAATGTGTGGCTAGGAGTCGATCTCCATCACAAATGGCTAGATGTGGATCTCCGTAAGATGGCGCTCCAAGTGGAGAGCTCGAAAGAAGTACTTGAAGGACTCACTGCTATCGCAAAGGAAAGGTTCCTGGAATTCAAAAAGAGAGAAATGACAAAATGTTTATGGGATAGCCCTCACAGATGGCCCATCAAGGCATTGGCTGCCAATTCCATGTATAGAATATGTCAAACCATTCTGCAAGATTATGAAAGCAGAGACTACGGGTGCAGTGAAAAATTATTCGAGAGGTTGTCTGTCATGATCTCTGATATATTGTGTGCTTGTCTTACCAACTTAGAACGAACTATATATACAAAATGCCACCAGAGCACCATTGAAGAGAGGGAAGACAGTGTCTGCCACGCAATTATTCTTCTTGGTAAATCAGAAAAGATTTTGAAGATTCTTGATCAGAAACTGCCTCCAAGTTTGAATCCAGATCAAATGGCATCTATTGATAAATGGCGCGAATGTAACAAGCAGAAGAAACCCCTACACTTCACCTCTTCACTGTCTTCAGCAGAGAGTGACACAGTCATTTCTTTTTCACCGGAGAGAGACACAGTTTCTACTTCACCCGACTTATATTTAACCATTGAGTAGGAATCGAAATTATAGTTTTGAGATATAGCATCAGTATGCTAGAGCATATTTTGTCAACTTTGAAGTAAACACTCACAACTAATGTCTATATGTATAAATTGTATTTAGTGATCTATTAGCAATCCATATGTGAAATTATGTCATGCATGTTTAGTAAAACTGAAGAATCAATGTTACTTGTCATTGTATGAGAATATTGGAAATAAACTTGATTTTAGAATTTTAGTATTAATTAATATTTTAAAGTATTTGGTATGCCTTATGAAGCACGAACACGGGACACTGGTACAATACGATACGGATACGGCAAATTTCAACAAAAACAGGATACGGACACGGCAAGAATACAGCAATAAATATATATATATATATATATATATTATACTATATATTTTTATTTTTACTCAATTTCTAATTTATATTTAATAAACACAAATTTTAGGCCCATTATTTAATAAACTTTTTGCCTCAAAATATAGCCCATTATTTCATAAACTTTTTGCCCCAAAATATAGCCCAAGCATCATTGAGCCCAAGCCCATTCGGCATTCACTAAGACAAACCCTAATTGTATAGAAAATCAAAAGTCAAACGCACTAAGTCACAAACACACTTTGTATGCCACCAGAGCAGAGAGAGAAAGCAATAGAGCAGAGAGAGAAAGCGACAGAGCAGATCAATCTGAAGTATCATCCTGCCGATCATTTCCTAGAGAGATCCAAGAGCAAAGTGTTGAAGTTGATTAAACTCTGAGAGTAGAATAGACACCATCAAAGTCCGATGTGCGAAGGGGAACGAAGTAGATCTGATCTGAAACCATCTCGCCGATCAATCAGTCCGGTGGCTCTGGCTGCGACCGGATAAATTCAGGAAGATCCCGCTTGTGTATATATCTTTTTATTTTTTTTGACAAAAAATCTGAATCCCGTGTCCTATGCGTGTTGCCAGCATGTCCTTCACCGTGTCCGGCATGAAAAATATGATATAAAAAAAATATAGGATACCTCTATAGAGGTGTCGGACTCGTGTCGAAGCCTCCGACACGCGTGTCCGTGTCGGACACGTATTCGACACCGGTACGATGACCTAATCCCACATGTCGGTGCTTTATAGGATATAGCTGATACATGTATGCATTTCATGTTAGTGGGGTAGTAAATAGTCTTGATGGTGAAGGTTATGTAAAATCAAGAGGTGTGGGAATTAAATCTCCTAAATACCATGTTAGTGGGAGGAGTGAAATGACCCGGTCATTTTCATTCCTTTCCCTTTTCTCAGATTTTCACGGATATTTTTTTTCCGTTGATCTTTTCCTTTCTGAGTTCAGTTCCTCGTCGCTTAGTATCGTCTCAAGTGCTCTGGAGTGATTTCCGAGACTCTTTTCTTTGGATTGACAACTTCCTTTGAGGATCGAGTCATTTCCACATTTTTCGTTATCGACACTATTCACTTTTCGTCCTTTTCCCTATTTCGTCTTTTTCCCTATTTTGTCTTTTCCCCGTTTGTCACTTTATTTGCAAAACCACACTTCTTGCGTTCGGAGTTGGTTTTTGACTTCATGTATCTTCATTCTAAGTGGTTTCGACAAAATACGTATCTTTACTTTTGTAAGAAAGTACTCTGGTTGCTCCCGGTGTCCATAGGGGCACAGATGCATAGTTTTTCATAATCTTTTTCTTTTCTTGGGGTATTTTTCGTAAATATATTTTGAAGATATTTTATTTCAGGGGTTTTTAAGAAAATATTTTTGGAAAATATTTTCATTCTGGGGCAGTTGTGCAGTTTTCACTTTTTGGAGAGGCCATTGTGCAATTAACAAAAGTTATTGCAAAAATACCTCGTTTAGAGCCTGGATCCTCATACAGGATTCATTTTCACATTTCGTCGAGTCGTGCACTCTTAGAATTTTCTTCTGGTCATTTTTCTCCAGTTTTAGAGTTTCTGAACCCGATTTGCGCCAAACTTGTTAGGGGCATATCTCTCTACTCGGGACTCGATTTTTGATACCGTTTCTTCCGTTGTTCATGTTTTCTCATTTTGAATCTTTTTCGTTCACAGAGTTTTACCGTTTGAGCTTGTCTGCTCAAATTCCACTTTTCCATACTTGGCGGGGACCTTTCTGGGCACTTTTTGAGATTTTCTATAAATAGGGGATTTAAAGAAGAAAAATAAGATTTTTCTCTTCTTCTTCCTCTCTTGGCCGGCAACCATGGATGCCCATGGAGCTGCCACTTTCTCTCTCCTCCTTTGATCCACTTTTCCTTGATGAAAAGTCTTCGGCCTTAACGTTTAATGTTCCCCTCGACGTGCTCTACCTTTCACCCTTATTAGAACCCATTTTTGACCATTTTTCGAGTTTGGGTTTGAAGTCAGGTTGTGATTTTGATGGGGATTCTTGTTCACGGCGTTGTCCCCGACAAAACCCTTCGATATCGTCGAATTCGGAGCATTTTTTTTTTCGGTGGGCTTTTGAGATTTTCATCTCAAATTGAGGTAGGGGATGTTTTAGGATTTTATATGTGTTGTATGGAGTGTTTTCCATGATTATACAACTTGTATACATGTTTTTGTTTAAGTCCTAGAATTTAATTTAATTAATTTCTATGGCTAAGATTTAATTCTCATGATGATGCATAACTTAGAAATAAATTGTGGCATGCTAGAAAGTTTGGATTTGATACGTTTGTTAACATATATTAAATTGGGATTATTTGAATAAGAATTGTACTTTTTATTTAATATTTTTCTTTTGTGAAAAATTAATTCACATGGTCATACCTTACATGAAATAAACTTGTAATATGTTTTTAAATTAAGTCTTGGCATGTTTCTTAACATACTCTAATTTGAGAGCATTTTGATAAGTATAAAAATCTAGAGATTTTAATTAAAATCCATTTAATGGTTCCATTGGCCTAATTAAGTTTTTAACTTAATATTTGTGATGACTAGGGCTTGTATACTAGCATATATTAATTTGGGACCATTTGATGTTGTTTTAGAATTTAGGGATTTAATTATCATGTTTTAATTAAATTCGATCCTATTGATCCAATGACCTAAGTAAGCTTTTGATTTGATTCATGTAATGAATAAGTTATGTTGTTTAACATGTGTTAATTAGGGTTCATTTGATTGAGATATAAAACTTAGAGAAATTAATTAGGTTATATAATTAATTTCTGTGTGTATTGCATTATTGATTAAATCATGTGTTTAACATTGATATTATGTTTGAAGTATGATTTTAGACTTGTAATGTATTTATGCGATTATATTTCAATATTGAATTATATTGTTATAGCGTGTAACGAATCGCACACAGAAGATTCGACATCTGATATTATTATAGCGCGTAACGAATCGCGCTCTGAAGATTCGACATTGTCACCCTATAGTAGTTGTGGATTTAAAGCATGTATTGTGTGGTTTCGACCTACTTATGCATGGAATGTAGTTTCGTGCTGTATATATATTTTTCGTATATAAGTTGTTAACTTATTTATTTTGGAGTCACTTGGGACATGGTTACTATAACATGGCTAGAATTTGGCTCTAGTGCGGGAGGTATGAGTTCTCCCCGTCGAGATAGTGCACACTAGGGGTGGTATTACCAGCGGGTTAGTCCCCGTAATAGCCGTTGAGGTCTCGACCGAATTCCGAGCTTAGATGTCCAAGTGTTCCACTAATTGATTCGCACTTCTAGATTTCTAGTTAAAAACCTAGAGAATTTATGTCTTGATGTGTGATATTATATATTCTAATTATACTAAATTGTTATATTTAGTTGATTTCGCACTTTTAGATTTCAAGTTGATAACTTTGAGAATCTATATCTTATTGCTTGGTATAGCACGCTTCTATGTTGGTTAAATTGTATAGATATTGTGATTGTGTTTTGTTGTTCTAATGTAGCTTAGGAATGATCCTATAGGTTCATTTAGAACATAGATGTTAGGTGGCATGACCCACTTTGGTTGTTCTTGCATCTTAGATTTCAAGTTGATAACTTTGAGAGTCTATATTTTGTCGCTTTGTATAACATGCTCCTATGTTGTTTGAATTGCATAAATGATGTGTTTTATACTAGAAATGATCTTAGGCAGCTTAGGATGTTCCCTGAGTCTCACCTTTGACATAGACGCTAGGTGGAATGAACCACGATGTTTAAATCATGTAAACATGTAAAATGTTAAGTCGATGCATGCTCATTTCCTACTAGTAGCTTTATGTTGCTCACCCCAAAGTTACTAGGGCATATTTCAGGTACAGGATACAAGATTAGAGATTTGCACTTGCTTTGGTGATTTGCAGAATTGAAGTTTCTTTAGAAGTATTCTTGTTCATATACAAGTTTTAGCATGTTTAAGTTTTGCGTATGAAATGTAATTTTTCTAACTTGGAGGTTTGACATGTCAAATGTTGTAAATGAATTGTAATAAGGTCATAGGCCATTTCAGCATGTTTAAAATGTTGTTTTGCAATTGCATGTATATTCACATCATCACACACTTGCATATAATTAAGTTTGATCATGCAATGGAGGATTCAAGTGAGGCTTAAAGTCTCTTTTTTTTAGTTTTGGTGTACCTGGTCTAGTTTGAACTAGATTTTGTCCCTTTGATTGTCATTGGTGCCATAGGGTACCATTTGACCCTTCTCATGTTAGTTTTCGCTTCCGGTTATTTCTTTGAGCTCTATGACTTCATAGAAAGTCACATTGGTGTCTTGGGGATGGTTTATATCTCTATAGACTTTGGTTTTATCTTTCACTTCCGCATTTCGGATCCATTATCGGGTTAACTTTTGGTTCATCACTAACCCACAGGGTTGAAAAGCTTGGGTCGTCACAAGGAGTGGGAATTAAGCCTAAAAGTTATATTAGTGTGAATAATTGAGCACTTAAATGTAATTGTTACACCTACGTTCATGTGGCCTATATATTCATGTACTCTAGTCAAATAATAAAAGAAGTGGAATAAAAATAATTTTCCAAGTATTCTTCCATATCATTCTCTTCCAAATATTATAATGTTATGTGTGTATCTAGGCCACTATTTTCAACAAAGTGGTATTAGAGTAAAGCCAGAAAGTGGTATCAAAGCAAAAGCCAACAAAGTAGTATCAGAGCCAGGTTCCATATCAGAGCCAGATTTCATGTTCAGAGCCTATACGATCCTGAAAGCCTGACGAAGTTGATTCTAGAAGGTTCAACATTTTTAGAAAAACATGTTTCTCCTTGATGATGATGAAGAGGGAAAAATGTATTTTTCTTAGTGAGAAGATGATGTTCTCTAATTACAAGAGAATGAGAATCATCATGACTTCATACCTCAAAGCATGTGATTTGTGGGATGTTGTTGGAGAAGAGCCAAAGAATGGCATGTCCAACAAGCTTCATGAAAAAAAAAAAGAGAAGACATTGGTAGTGTCACAAAAGGCAATACATCAAGAAATTTAGAAGTATTTTGGAGAGTCCAAAACTCCAAGTTGTATTAGGAAGATACTCGAGATCATCGTTTCCAATCATAGAGATGAATCACTACCCATGGAGTATTGGGTACAATGCTTTGAGGATGACGAGTTTACGAAAGCTGATTATGAAAGTCTTGAGGAGTTGTGGAGAATGAAGAAGCGTACAATATAAATGAAGTTAAAGAAATTGAAGAGTTAAAAGTTGAAGGCCAAAGTGAAATGGTGAATAAGGAAGAGATAAAGAAAGGTGTTGAAGAAGAAATTAAAAAAGTGGAGAAGATTGAAGTGGAAAGAGAAATTAAAGAAGAAAAAAGTGCTAAAGAAGAGGCAAAAGTTGATGAAGTTAGTAAGTTAAGATCTTCAGGTATGGTTACGAATTCCACCTCCAAAGAAGTTATATTTGATGAAATTATGATTTCTTCATATTCATCCCAATTGAAAAAAAAAAAAAATCAAATATTATGATAATTGTGTTCATGTTGTGGTAAATGACGAACTTCTCTTGAAGAAAGTTGTTCCAATGAAGAATGAGATTAAAGCTCAAGATGATAAGAATTTCTCAAATTATTTTTTGAAAAATGGTTTGGAAAATTTTGTTATTGATACGGGTTGGGTGAATATGGAGTTATTTTTTGATTCCAAAGTAAAAGCACGTGCAGTTCAAAAGTTTCAAAAATTCAAGAAGAGAGAAAACGGATGGTGTGCCCATGTGAAGAAGATAAAGGTTGATTATAAGAAGGCATTATTCAAGTATTTGAAGAAGTTTCATAAGTCCTACACATCAATGGAAATGGCCAAGAAGATTGAAGCTATTGAAGGAGGTGGAATTAAAGATCAACAATTGAATTTTTGATCAAGCCCACAAGATTAATAAGATTTTCAAGTTACAAAATCAAGTTTAAAGGGGGTGTTGGAAATAAAACTTGATTTTAGAATTTTAGTATTAATTAGTATTTTAAAGTATTTGGTATATATGATGCATGTGTGCATTTCATGTTAGTGGGGTAGTAAATAGTCTTGATGATGAAGGTTATGTAAAATCAAGAGGTATGGGAATTAAACCTCCTAAATATCATGTTAGTGAGAGGAATGGGAATTAAGCCTAAAGGTAATGTTAGTGTGAGTAATTGAGCACTTAAATGTAATTGTTACACCTATGTTCATGTGACTTATATATTCATGTACTCTAGTCAAATAATAGAAGAAGTGGAATAAAAATAATTTTCCAAGTCTTCCTCCATATCATTCTTTTCCAAATATTATAGTGTTGTGTGTGTATCTAAGCCATTATTTTCAATAAAGTGGTATCAGAGTAAAGTCAGAAAGTGGTATCAGAACAAAAGCCAACAGAGAAATCCGTTCAAAGGCATAAACTACCACACCCCATCAATCCCATATTAGAACATCTGCGATGTATTTGGATGCAGGGAATTAAGCCCAAGCTGAATCAAATGGCATTAATTGAATTAAAATCCAAATATCTGAAATCCAATTGTGTAAATAAACATGTTGGGTTCTACCATTCACATAATCGAATCACAGAAAATGATGGAGATGCAGTTGCCAAATATTTGGTGTCAATGGTCCATGATGATGAAGATAAAAGCACCAATATAACTAACACATCTTATGACCTTACATGCTTGGGGGGCTTTCGATTAATTAATCGTCTATTTTTTATTTATTTTTTTCGTTCTGTCTAAAGGTATTAGTAGCTTGTTCCATGTAGCATATTATTTACTGATTTGAGCTATATTGACTTCAGGGGAAGCTTTTGGATTGTCAAAAAAGATATAATTGTCATCTATTTAACACTGTTTTCTTGTAGCTCGTGGTATGTCATAATCAAACAGACGATTTATTGCGTTTCTATCATTACTTGTCTATTAAATATAAATTGTCCAACATAGCCTATCACCCTTTTTCTTTTCTCTTTTTTTTTTAGAGCACGTGTATCGACCTTATAACACACGCACCATTCAAGTTAGGAGTGTGATTCAAAAGTGAGACATCAAGAACTTACCTCCCGAATTCTTGTCAACGCCGCTATGCCCCAGTAGAATAAACTCTTATTATTACATGAAATAAACTCTTATTGTACAACTTCTCTAAAATATTGTTGGGCCTTTTTATTGACTAGGGCTTAAGCAACTGCCTAACTCGCCTAAAGCTCCAGCCGGCCCTAACCATTATCTATTTAACATTGTTTTCTTGTAGCTCATGGTATGTTATAATTGAACAGAGCCAACCACATCCATGACTACATAATTTATTGTTCCGCGAAATCAACTCTAATTGTACAATTTATTTGGAGAATATCCCAAGTAAAACAATGTTATTGACTTCAGAAACATAAAGCCAACCACATCCATCCAAAATTCCAGGAAGATTATTAGAAATTGTTCATCGACTGTATCTAAAAGTACTAAGCAATCTATTAATTGAACATGACAATATATATAGATATATATACATAATATTGCTCAACATGGAAGCTATTCGAACATATATATATATATATAGTAGCATTCACATGACCAACACCTGCCGTTACAACCAAAATCTTTTGCCTTTCCCTAAAGAAAATAACAGTCATAATTGAAACAGAAAAAGAAAATGCCCGTCTGCAACTTTTACAACTTCTGGAAGCGGATACCAGAAAGGGGATTTATAACTTCTGGGTCCAAATACTATGACCAAGAAATCATGAAATTATGTCAGCAGGAAGAACAATACGAAGCACCAATGCCATGGATCGGCATGTATGTTGCAGCAGCATCTCTAGTCTGTACCCTTGCAATGGCTACTGAAGTCTTCCACGGGTTTCGCCATAGAAAACTGTGGTTTCTGTGCAAATTTTTCACTTTCAATACCGCTTCCATCACATTATTATCTGTAGCAATGAAGCTGCCGATGGATCTGAGCGCCCCTATGCCAGGTGTTGGAGATCAGCTGACAAAACTTACCAGCACCGCCTTGAGGTCTACAACGATAGGTAATTTTATGCCATCTTTAGGAGCTATGGATGACAAAGAAATTTTCATGAAGATTACTGATACGGAATATTTGACTAGATAAGAATTCCACGTGATATGGAGACTCAAAGGGAATGGATAAACTTAAGGAGATAGAAATAACAACTACTACACTATCCAATAACTCTGACAATCCGGAATGGACAAGGAAAATAAATCCTTCTATAAAAGAAATCATCGGTCAACCTAAAAATGTACGCCATAAATCCCATATTGAATCCTTTATCCGGGGGGGGGGGGGGGAAGCGTCAAGTATTAACTTGATTGTCGGAGTGCACCCAGACGGCACCACGCCGGTCATCACCTCTCTTGTCTTGCAGGAATCGATCCGGACTTGACTTGCAAGAATCGCCATGGGCTCCGGAGCGTGTAGATTTTTGCATCAACAATTACAGCCTTGGCGATTCTTGTCATCACCATTTTTGTTAATATCTGCATCCAAATAAGTACTCGAGTAATATATTCTTTTCTCATGGTAGAACACATTGCAGTTATATCTTTCATGCTTGTTTTGCTTGTAATATTGAGTTTTTCAGCTTTAACCGTTTCCACCACCAAAAGCTGTCTACAGTTGAAGTACGATGATATACACAAAATGATTTTGAGTGAAGAATTAGAGGAAAACAAAAAAATTTATAAGTGAGAAATTGAAAGAGAATGTGAGAAAATATTGGCTGATGGCAGAAACTGGCAGCCCTCAGTTTGTTATGGCGCGGTCTGTTGCCTCTTATGCTGCAGGAGCAATTTGTTTTTCGACTAGAGTCATTTTAGCTCAAGCAATCTTCATGACATTCCTCTTCAATGCTTCCCCCAGGAGAGTGTATGGACCTGCATCAAGTGATTCAAGTTATAGGTTAACCCTACTCATTTTTGTGATTCAATGTTTTGGGGTGGGAATAGGTACAGTTGCCCCAGCAGTGAGATGGTTCACTGCCATAAGACTAAGGTGCTCGGAGAAAAGAGTCAAGAACTACAAAACTGGGTTTAAAATAGAAAACTTTTGGATCGAAAGGCTAGTAGGGTGGAAAGACAGCCCCTTAGCTATAGGAGTTCGGGGCCAAAAATCTAGAAAACTTGTTCATAACACAAAAAATTTAATTCTAAACTTCTGTATAGGAGTTCAGATTGTGATTGTCGCGACTAGTAAATTAATCATGCTAATCTCAATTTACTTAATAAGCCAGTTCTTGTCATTCGAGCACTTGTACAAGGAGGTAAAGCAAAAGCTCATATCTAAAAATACTGCTTCAAGTAATCACACAGATTTAGAATCAGGCCTTGGAACAGAGTTGGAACTCTGCCGTTGTGTATTGTATCTTGAAGGCGATGAGGAACTGCCATTACAGATTATGAAGAACAACAAGGATACTACTGATCATTTTATTCAGAAGGGTGAGAAGCAACAGCCAAAATATTTGAAAGAGCTTTTAGATAAATCTACTATGTACTTTCATGGGGTGGCAAAGTTCGACAGTGATCAAGTTCCATCTCTAGAGTTTGAAGAACCTCCTAATGGTTGGTCTCCGCTTATGGTTACTCTTACATGTATTGCCATTGCACTTCTAAACATGGAAAATCATAAGGTGAAGTGGTTGCTTCGAAGTGTGAGTGAAGGTCTCTTGTATGTAAACCTTGTAGAAAAATTGTTGAATGCAAAAAGTGATATGGTGAACATCATGAATGCAGCAGATATATTGTGGCTAAGACTTGATCTTTTTCGCAAATGGCCAGATGAATATCTCCAGAAAATCGCTCTTGAAGTAAAAACCACGAAGGAGACTCTTAAGAGACTTGCCAACATAGCTAAAATTACAGTTACTAAATTCAAGGCAAACATGAATGGAAATCAAAAAGAGAATCCTCCTAGCTGGGACATCAAGACTATCGCTGCTAATTCAATGTATAGAATCAGTCAAACAGTGTTGCTGAATTAGTCAAACAGTGTTGCTGGACCTTGAAGCTTGGAATAACCAAACAGATGAAGGACTATTCAGCCAATTATCTGTTATAATCGCTGATATATTGGGTGCCTGCCTCACCAATTTACCTTGCGTTATAACTATGAAATGCTTTTGTAGTGCCATAGAAAAGAGGGCGAAGAGTGTCCAGCATGCCGCTCAACTTCATGGTAAAACTAGAAAGATTTTGAAAATCCTTCAACAGCGTGAACTTCCCCATCTGAATCCTGATACGATGGCGTATATTGATGAGTGGTGTACATTAATCAAGTTGGAAAATCCCTTGGATTTAATAACTTCTTCATTCAATGAAGGCACGTCTTCTAATTCTGGTGAGTTGCAGATAGCTATTGAGTAGAGATGAATCACTACCCATGGAGTATTGGGTACAATGCTTTAAGGATGATGAGTTTACGAAAGCTGATTATGAAAGTCTTAAGGAGTTGTGGAGAATGAAGAAGCGTACAATATAAATGAAGTTAAAGAAATTGAAGAGTTAAAAGTTGAAGGCCAAAGTGAAATGGTGAATAAGGAAGAGATAAAGAAAGGTGTTGAAGAAGAAATTAAAAAAGTAGAGAAGATTGAAGTGGAAAGAGAAATTAAAGAAGAAAAAAGTGCTAAAGAAGAGGCAAAAGTTGATGAAGTTAGTAAGTTAAGATCTTCAGGGATGGTTACGAATTCCACCTTCGAAGAAGTTATATTTGATGAAATTGTGATTTCTTCATATTCATCCCAATTGAAGAAAAAAAAAATCAAATATTATGATAATTGTGTTCATGTTGTGGTAAATGACGAACTTCTCTTGAAGAAAGTTGTTCCAATGAAGAATGAAATTAAAGCTCAAGATGATAAGAATTTCTCAAATTATTTTTTGAAAAATGGTTTGGAAAATTTTGTTATTGATACGGGTTGGGTGAATATGGAGTTATTTTTTTATTCCAAAGTAAAAGCACATGTGCAGTTCAAGAAGTTTCAAAAATTCAAGAAGAGAGAAAACGGATGGTGTGCCCATGTGAAGAAGATAAAGGTTGATTATAAGAAGGCATTATTCAAGTATTTGAAGAAGTTTCATAAGTCCTACACATCAATGGAAATGGCCAAGAAGATTGAAGCTATTGAAGGAGGTGGAATTAAAGATCAACAATTGAATTTTTGATCAAGCCCACAAGATTAATAAGATTTTCAAGTTACAAAATCAAGTTTAAAGGGGGTGTTGGAAATAAACTTGATTTTAGAATTTTAGTATTAATTAGTATTTTAAAGTATTTGGTATACATGATGCATGTGTGCATTTCATGTTAGTGGGGTAGTAAATAGTCTTGATGATGAAGGTTATGTAAAATCAAGAGGTATGGGAATTAAACCTCCTAAATACCATGTTAGTGGGAGGAGTGGGAATTAAGCCTAAAGGTAATGTTAGTGTGAGTAATTGAGCACTTAAATGTAATTGTTACACCTATGTTCATGTGACTTATATATTCATGTACTCTAGTCAAATAATAGAAGAAGTGGAATAAAAATAATTTTCCAAGTATTCCTCCATATCATTCTTTTCCAAATATTATAGTGTTGTGTGTGTATCTAAGCCATTATTTTCAATAAAGTGGTACCAGAGTAAAGTCAGAAAGTGGTATCAGAACAAAAGCCAACAGAGAAATCCATTCAAAGGCATAAACTACCACACCCCATCAATCCCATATTAGAACATCTGCGATGTATTTGGATGCAGGGAATTAAGCCCAAGCTGAATCAAATGGCATTAATTGAATTAAAATCCAAATAACTGAAATCCAATTGTGTAAATAAACATGTTGGGTTCTACCATTCACATAATCGAATCACAGAAAATGATGGAGATGCAGTTGCCAAATATTTGGTGTCAATGGTCCATGATGATGAAGATAAAAGCACCAATATAACTAACACATCTTATGACCTTACATGCTTGGGGGGCTTTCGATTAATTAATCGTCTATTTTTTATTTATTTTTTTCGTTCTGTCTAAAGGTATTTGTAGCTTGTTCCATGTAGCATATTATTTACTGATTTCAGCTATATTGACTTCAGGGGAAGCTTTTGGATTGTCAAAAAAGATATAATTGTCATCTATTTAACACTGTTTTCTTGTAGCTCGTGGTATGTCATAATCAAGCAGACGATTTATTGCGTTTCGATCATTACTTGTCTATTAAATATAAATTGTCCAAAATAGCCTATCACCCTTTTTCTTTTCTCTTTTTTTTTTTTTTAGAGCACATGTATCGACCTTATAACACACGCACCATTCAAGTTAGGAGTGTGATTCAAAAGTGAGACATCAAGAACTTACCTCCCGAATTCCTGTCAACGCCGCTATACCCCAGTAGAATAAACTCTTATTATTACATGAAATAAACTCTTATTGTACAACTTCTCTAAAATATTGTTGGGCCTTTTTATTGACTGGGGCTTAAGCAACAGCCTAACTCGCCTAAAGCTCCAGCCGGCCCTAACCATTATCTATTTAACATTGTTTTCTTGTAGCTCATGGTATGTTATAATTGAACAGAGCCAACCACATCCATGACTACATATTTTATTGTTCCGCGAAATCAACTCTAATTGTACAATTTATTTGGAGAATATCCCAAGTAAAACAATGTTATTGACTTCAGAAACATAAAGCCAACCACATCCATCCAAAATTCCAGGAAGATTATTAGAAATTGTTCATCGACTGTATCTAAAATTACTAAGCAATCTATTAATTGAACATGACAATATATATAGATATATATACATAATATTGCTCAACATGGAAGCTATTCGAACATATATATATATATATAGTAGCATTCACATGACCAACAACTACCGTTACAACCAAAATCTTTTGCCTTTCCCCAAAGAAAATAACGGTCATAATTGAAACAGAAAAAGAAAATGCCCGACTGCAACTTTTACAACTTCTGGAAGCGGATACCAGAAAGGGGATTTATAACTTCTGGGTCCAAATACTATGACCAAGAAATCATGAAATTATGTCAGCAGGAAGAACAATACGAAGCACCAATGCCATGGATCGGCATGTATGTTGCAGCAGCATCTCTAGTCTGTACCCTTGCAATGGCTGCTGAAGTCTTCCACAGGTTTCGCCATAGAAAACTGTGGTTTCCGTGCAAATTTTTCACTTTCAATGCCGCTTCCATCACATTATTATCTGTAGCAATGAAGCTGCCGGTGGATCTGACCACCCCTATGCCAGGTGTTGGAGATCAGCTGGCGAAACTTACCAGCACCGCCTTGATGTCTACAACGATAGGTAATTTTATGCCATCTTTAGGAGCTATGGATGACAGAGAAATTTTCATGAACATTACTGATACGGAATATTTGACTAGATAAGAATTCCACGTGATATGGAGACTCAAAGGGAATGGATAAACTTAAGGAGATAGAAATAACAACTACTACACTATCCAATAACTCTGACAATCCGGAATGGACAAGGAAAATATATCCTTCTATAAAAGAAATCATCGGTCAACCTAAAAATGTACGCCATAAATCCCATATTGAATCCTTTATCCGGGGGGGGGAATCGTCAAGTATTAACTTGATTGTCGGAGTGCACCCAGACGGCACCACGCCGGTCATCACCTCTCTTGTCTTGCAGGAATCGATCCGGACTTGACTTGCAAGAATCGCCATGGGCTCCGGAGCGTGTAGATTTTTGCATCAACAATTACAGCCTTGGCGATTCTTGTCATCACCATTTTTGTTAATATCTGCATCCAAATAAGTACTCGAGTAATATATTCTTTTCTCATGGTAGAACACATTGCAGTTATATCTTTCATGCTTGTTTTGTTTGTAATATCAAGTTTTTCAGCTTTGACCGTTTCCACCACCAAAAGCTGTCTTCAGTTGAAGTACGATGATATACACAAAATGATTTTGAGTGAAGAATTAGAGGAAAACAAAAAATTTACAAGTGAGAAATTGAAAGAGAATGTGAGAAAATATTGGCTGATGGCAGAAACTGGCAGCCCTCAGTTTGTTATGGCGCGGTCTGTTGCCTCCTATGCTGCATGAGTAATGGAGTCATTTTAGCTCAAGCAATCTTCATGACATTCCTCTTCAATGCTTCCCCCAGGAGAGTGTATGGACCTGCATCAAGTGATTCAAGTTATAGGTTAACCCTACTCATTTTTGTGATTCAATGTTTTGGGGTGGGAATAGGTACAGTTGCCCCAGCAGTGAGATGGTTCACTGCCATAAGACTAAGGTGCTCGGAGAAAAGAGTCAAGAACTACAAAACTGGGTTTAAAACAGAAAACTTTTGGATCGAAAGGCTAGTAGGGTGGAAAGACAGCCCCTTAGCTATAGGAGTTCGGGGCCAAAAATCCAGAAAACTTGTTCATAACACAAAAAATTTAATTCTAGACTTCTGTATAGGAGTTCAGATTGTGATTGTCGCGACTAGTAAATTAATCATGCTAATCTCAATTTACTTAATAAGCCAGTTCTTGTCATTCGAGCACTTGTACAAGGAAGTAAAGCAAAAGCTCATATCTAAAAATACTGCTTCAAGTAATCACACAGAATTAGAATCAGGCCTTGGAACAGAGTTGGAACTCTGTCGTTGTGTCTTGTATCTTGAAGGCGAGGAGGAACTGCCATTACAGATTATGAAGAACAACAAGGATACTACTGATCATTTTATTCAGAAGGGTGAGAAGCAATAGCCAAAATATTTGAAAGAGCTTTTAGATAAATCTACTATGTACTTTCATGGGGTGGCAAAGTTCGACAGTCAAGTTCCATCTCTAGATTCTGAAGAACCTCCTAATGGTTGGTCTCCGCTTGCGGTTACTCTTACATGTATTGCCATTGCACTTCTAAACAAGGAAAATCATAAGGTGAAGTGGTTGCTCCGAAGTGTGAGTGAAGGTCTCTTGTATGTAAACCTTGTAGAAAAATTGTTGAATGCCAAA